ACTAGGTTATGACATAAAATAATAAGAAATAAAGAAAGCGCTTATTGGTTTGATATTTCATCTTCAGCAATTAACCGGGCATTGAGGCAGAAATTTGGAGCCACATTATTGAGAACCAACTGAATTTTTGTTGGCAGCAAAGCCAGAGCTCTTTATCCCAGAGTAAAAAGACAAGCTCCCATACCTGAGTCCTCTCTACAGGTCATTGTTGTTACTTCACCAGGATCCGGAGCTCTAAAGCAAAAACAGTGAGTTTGGTTTCTACTGCTGGTCAGACTTTAAACCAGGTGTTGTTCCAAAAAAATTGATTTCCTATGTGTGTGTGTTTTATGTGTAATGTCTTTGCTTATATTGGAGAATAGACTAAAGACGACAGGATTTATGAAGGGTTTGTTTCTGCTGCCCTCTTGGCCAGATCAGTTAAAGCAAAAGTGAGCCTTTTTAGCTGGATAGAAAAAGATAAAAGTCACTTTGTCAAAAGCTCCCGTTTCTGCCTTGTGATAGGAATTCAGTTAAATTCTTAGGTAGTTTAGCGCCAAATCACAACAGCTGTTCCATCGTGCTGGTTTATATTGCACAATAGAACAGAGAAAACCCCAAAAATCTGATGCATAAGCACACAGTGGGAAGGAAAAACTCCCCTTTAGCAGTATGACATTTCTGCAGCAGAACCAGGCTCAGGGAGGGGCACCCATCTACTGTGACCGGCTGTGGGTGAGGGGAGTAAGACAACAAAGACACACTGTGGAAGAGAGCCAGAGATTAATGGGTTAACCCTATAATTAATGAGAGATATTTTTGATGTATGTTTCACAGATTATAGGCCAACAGGTCATTTTCAACAGCTTAAATCTGAACATCTGATCAGTTATTTGTTTCTTCAGTGACACGTCACACTGTAACAGGGTGTGCTTTACTACTTCTGCCTCGAAAAACCTCAGTGGAGCCAGCTTTAGGTTTAATACAGAGATCAATATTTTACCACTGAGCAGAATCTCACTCTGCAGTGTTCCTAAACCTGCTAACTCACTTCACTCAGGAGTCAAACTGACGCTTTGCTTTTTTCCTCCACCAGGCACACACTCTTATAAAACAATGAAAACAAGTACAGTAAAATTGGACTTTTAACTGGGGTTCATTTATCCAACAAAACGCTTGAAGTCAATCAAAAATAATAAGGTTTAAACAACTAAAAGGGACTAAAATGTTCGGAACTCTGAATAATTAAGTTAGGAATACATTTCTTTTGATGCACATTTACACAGCTTTTAATGTGTTTACATATTATAAGCATCTACATTCCCAGTGCAGTGAAATGTCCACTTGTAAAACTCTTTTCCTACTTACACAGATCTATGCAGTAATAATGACACTAGTTTGTTGCGGCAGCCTCACTGTACTTCCATGATTATACAAGACTTGTATATTGGATGTGCTTTGTGTTTGTATTAATGAGACAGTCATTGAGAGAGAGAAAAAAATGGAGGACATCATTAACCTGCAAAAATGTAACCTTTGTTACCCTCCTAATAATGACTCACAGTCCTGTCAGGTTTGGCACCCGTGGACATGGCCCGATGCTGCTTTTTTCTATTCTTTCTTGGCTTGGCGGTGATGTTCTGAAGAATTTTTTATTCATAATTACATTAGTCTGTCATCAGTGATCCCTCAGTAGTCTCAAGGCTTTTGTTGTTGCTGAGCTCATCAGTGCATATTGCACCAGAGTGTTGACTGACCACAGTAACTAGAGTTTTTCTTTTTTCAAAGCTTAATGATGTCCTCCTTCCTTTGGGCCAGCATCCGTTTTGACTACCACGTTTAAGATTCCCGTAAACTGCAGCCAAATGCAAATGCAGCACTTGGAACACACTCCACACCTTTAATCTTCTTAAATTTGTCATGAAATCTTGAGAAAAAAAGCCACCTTTGTCCATGAACCAAATCGCTCTCCATTGTAATCGCATAGTGCATTATTTTGAGAAATTCACTGAACTTTATTCACAGCTTGATTTAATCATTTCCCACTAACTGTGGTGAGGCACAAAAAACATGCAGAAATACTTGACAGAAAATGTAAGTGCCCAGTCTCAGAAGTAAGGACCCTTTTACTGCTGTTACACTTGCATTTTTAGATTAAATATGGCAACCCATGCAGCAGCCAGCTGCAATAAGTGGTCAAAAAATGAAATTTCGTCAAATGCTATGACTGTTTTAATAAGCATTAGTAAATGATTACCTAATCTATAATGAGTTAAGCCATCGCATACAATCTTTCCACTTAGTGAAAGCAGAAAATACATGCCTGTTCCTGACAAGCAGGATCAATACAGTACATTATCATTAAATTAAATATAGTTGCAGTCAGATAGACACATTAGGCAGATGAATGAGTCGTATGGCCTTCTTTATTTTTGTAACACTTTATGCCAATGCCAAAAAACCCCACACAGATATAGATGGAAATAGGCACTAATCCCAGTGGAGAAATATAAATATATGCTGATAATAAATTCTTCAGCAGCAGTAGAAGCAGGCTGTAACCTTGGCAGGAGAGTTGACAGGGAGCTTCAGTCCCAGTGGGCAGCCAGAGTGGGAAAATAGAAAGCTGCAGCAGAGACATCCACTGGGGACAAGCATCACATTTCATATCCACGACGCAAGGAGGCCTGCAAGGCCTGAGATGGGGCTTAAAGCATGTAGCCTGGTAACACACAGTGAGGTAAAACACATCTGTATGTGTGAAGCTTCCTGTTTCTGGTTGGTAAGTTGCTGAGAAGTTTGAAATGTGTTATCAAACATGCAGGCTGACGATGAGGAAGCAGGTGGTATCTGAGCTGGATATCTGGCGTCCCCTGGTGGTGGCTCAGGGCACATGCAATCAATCAATTTAAAGTGTACTACATGCAACTATGAACATGTTAGTCAGCTAAAACAGAGCAATAATGAAAATTGAACAAAATAAAGTCATATATATATATATATATATATATATATAGAGAGAGAGAGAGAGAGAGAGAGAGAGAGAGAGAGAGATACAGGTATATAGTTTCAACACTTTTGCATTTGGCTACTGAAAATAAAACAAATAACATATAATATGACAGAATATAGTATATTATAAAAAAGTCATATATGAATAAATAATAATGATAAGAATTAAAATTATTAAAAAGAAAAAAGTACAGAAATATACAAAGGAAAACAATTGAATGTTTTTATTAAATGTTGAAATGAATACTCCCAGCTATTTGGTATTGGGTACTTCTGGCTGTTTGTTTTTTTAAATTATTACTTTTGTATCATAAAGCATAAAAGAGTTTACGAGCCACAGAAGCACATTTTACCCCATCACGCAGTAAAACCCTTCCTGCATGCCTTCGAGTTCCTTCACTGACATCTCCCAGCAGCACCATCAGCACATTTTTTTTCTTTTTGTTTTTCTTTCTCTTTACTTTGTTGTGCTCTTGCACCCGATGTTAATTACGTTGCTGACACTGTGGCTCACAAACAACCCATGGGAAAATCCAACATCCTCCTGCTCATTAGGTGAGTCAGATTTCCACATAGAAAGAGACAGAGCTGACATTCGCAGCCCTGCTGTTCCTCATTCCTCGCGTCTAGCAGCGGTCTGTGCTGTGAAAGCAAAGCAGCTGACAAACTGTCCTGTGTACTGTACAGATTTCAGGGGCAAATCCTGTACACTGTATTCACACTGACACTTGCTTTTGTTTATATTAGACAGTATATGAGTATAATAAATGGGTTATAATATGTTGTAAAGCTGGTGTAAATAGGAAACAAAGAATGCATTAATGACTTTACTTAGAGCTCGAGACAGCTGTAATGATATAAAATATTTCTGACAAATACTGTGCTTTAATCAGTTCCTTAAAAAGCTGGTCTTAGTTTATTCCAACTTCATTGTAGTAAATAATAAACTAGTCACTACTTGGTTTTTTTGATCCTTACAAATGCTAAATAGAGGAAGTTTGAGTTTGACCACATGGACTGTACATACAGGGATCATATGCTCTGGCAATTACCATAATTTCCATCATGACAAAATATGATTAATAATGTGGTGCTACTACTTATGTTACGCCACTCATATCAATTAAGGTTACAAAATACCCTGATTTTAATTCCATTTGAACTTTAACCTTCTTTATCCCATTTATCTGCTTTCTTTTCAGCTTTTTTATTTATTTATTTATTTTTACATTATGCTAGTATCATTCAAACACTAAAATATAGTTAATCCTGTCACTCTGTAATTCTTTCATAAACAACAAATTGCAATCAAGTTATAATTTACATTTATGCACGGTCAGTATGCATGGAGGGAGTCAGGAAAGAGATCCAACAGTGAGTGTCTACAGCTATCTGTAAAACATGGTGGAGGCTGTGTAATGGTTTGGGTTTGCATTTCAGCCAGTGGTGTTTGATGTCTTGTTACAATCAAAAATAGAGTTGCATTTTCATCCACCATGTAGTTCCATGTAGGCCTGTACACGTTTCAACAAACTGCTGCACCTATTTCCCATTTTCCTAGCAAAATATAAAGAAATGGGGGCTGACTCTATTACACAGTACTATATACTGTTTGAATGACAGCATGAAAATGACACATACTAAACTCCAATCAAGTATTTACCAGCTGAAAGAAAATAGGAACTCCATTTGGTGTATACTCTGATTTATTCACGGCATTAGATTAAACCTATTCATGCATTTATAACCTCAACATGATAACATTATGCAAAACCATTAAAAAGGTTAAAATGTTGCTTTAATAATATTAGAATAAGCCGTTCTATCTGATCTATATCAGTTTGACAACATGAGTGTCTACAGACATGCTGTAGCGGTTTAGCCTACACTGTGTGCTAATAGGTTAATACTTGCAGTATTTCTCGGGGACACGCTGGTGCAGTTTGTGGCCAGCATGCTGTGCTCCTAATGTTTTGCAGAAAAGTCTGTATTGTTCACACTTGGACTTCACTCGACCTTTACTGTATGCAGCAGTCAGCAGATGCTGAGGAAAGAAGAATTTCCACCGAGCGTTAGGACTTTCCAGAGTGGGCGGAGCGACTGTGCAGTGCAGGAAGTACTGAGTCAGCTGTAGTTTCTGTAGTTTTTGAGGTATGTTGGTTGTCAAACACGTTCCTTGCGGTCCCGCATAAAGGGCAGGGAGTCTGCGTTTGTCTGCGAGTTTTCTCTGTGTGCTGAGCGGCAGATACTTCAGCTTCTCCGCGATGAGTCGAACCGTGCTGGTGGATCTGCTTCACCGCTGCTGTGCATCATGCACGGGCGCTTCTCTGCTGGAGGACTCGGTTTCAGACTCGCAGGTCTTCGTGCTGTGCGGGAACACTTACCGGGAGAAAAACGGCTTCGTAGACACGTTCTTGAGCTCCTGCAAAAGTGTGCACATCCTGGACTCGAGCTCCACAGTGGAGAGTTTGTACCGTTTCAAGCAGACTTTGGACCAGCTGGACCTGAGCTCGATCACGGTCCTCACCACCGCACAGGGCAAAGAGGTGCTGGCTCATTACCAGAACCTCCTTTTTACGGCCCTATACGACTTCCAGTACAAGCAGAGACCGGTGGACGAGACTTGTCCTAGTTGCAGAGCCTCCACAGATTCGGTCTCACCTGGCGAAGAAGTGTGCGAAGAAGTGTCGACGTTTATGCAGCAGCTTCCTGCGCTGAAGGGAGAACTCACAGTTCTGAAGTCTGCGCTCATTCCAGGTCGGCTTAAGCAAAACATACTTATGAGTTTTATGGAGTTATTAAATTACTGTATAGTGAATGGAGTTTGGATTTCTCCTCCTACATCAAGGGTGTCAAACATAAGTCTCGAGGGCCAGAATCGGTCGTACAAAGACTCCAATTTGGGCCATTGAGTTATTTTTAAAAATGTGAACGAGTGCATAGATTTTAAACTTTTAGGTGTATTTTTATATATTTTACAGCTTCTCCTGTTGATAAAGATCTCGCCCACTGGTAGTCATACAGTAGCAAAGTACGGTAATAAATAAACAATTAAGGTTCCTGTTAACATTAGTGCACGATATGTGAAATGAAAACAGTTTGACTTCCCCGTCCCACACTAACTATTTGGGAACAGCGTGTTTTCCATTTTCTGTAAATGGGTGTATATTTGAAAGGAAGCTAGAATGAGTTTGTCTATCAAAACTTAATATGTCATACATATACTATATATTGATACTATATATTGCACAATAGTAAATTCCAGAGTCTTTAATATATGGAGGAAAAACAGTGATTCACTGCTACTTGACTGTTTTATTTTATAATAAAGTCTAATCATTTGATAACCACTTAAATTATAGTGATATATCTATTAGATAAAGAGGAAACTGAGAATGTACCAATACCCAACACCGTATACCGTTGGACTCCTTTGTCCATGCAAATATGTCCTAGTGTACTGATAACAGGAGACATACAGTGGTGTGAAAAAGTTTTTCACACTGGGCCATGTAGGTTTAATTTTTTCCACCTTAATAATAAACACTTTCATTTAGAAATTGTTTACTTGTGTTATCTTTGTCTAGAATTTAAATTTATTTGATTATCTGAAACATTTAAGTGTGACAAACATACAAAAAATAGTTAATCAGGAAGGGGGGAAACACTTTTTCACACAACTGTGCATGAGATCAGCTCATGTTATCATTTAATCCTGACATTTAATGAATTTTCTTATCATTTAGTGCACTGTGTTAAAATTTCTATTAAAGTATAATCTGTTGACAAGATGTTGGTAAATAAATACAAACTGAGCTAGAAGTAGCTTAGCATTCATTTAAATGCTATTAAATGTATTTATTTCAATGTGTTATAATAGAAAAGCAGTTTACCTTTTTTCTCTCCCTCTTTGTCTCAGATTGTTTTGGTCATGGCTTCAGCACCCGTACAGGTGGTGTGTCCTACATCTCGACCTTATCCTCCTTGAATCTGTTCAGCAGCTGCAGGAGGAGGGACCCAGTGGCTGTGGTAATGGAGAACAGGCGCCGATTAGCCCTCCATGCTGGTTTCCATCCTCAGCCCATGCATTTAGTCAAGGTACTCAACACTATTAGAATTTTGCCCTTTAATGTATTATCTGTATTATGTAAAAAGGGTGTTGGAACATATTTGTAGTAATTAAAGCTAGAGTCTGACCAATTGGCAGCCTGCAATTATCAGCTGATATTAACTGTATGAAAAACGAAAAAGTAAAGAAGAGATTGGAGAAACAACCATGTTCAACCATGTTATGAATGTTGATGTTGCATGACTTGTCCACCAGAGGGCATCCTGCAACGTCCACATTCCAAACACAACAAACAACCAGCTAATCCAAGCTGGCAGACAGAGCGCAAATGAGCAATAAATAGCTCCATGTAACAGACATAGAGAAACCTGTTTAGATTCTATGTGTCTGAAAGAAAAACAAATATTATATTGGAATATCGGATTCTTAAATCACCAAATATCAGACTTAAAATATTTTCTCAGCCGCACCTCAAAGTACGAGTAGCATGTATAAAAATATATCATCTTGCATATATTAAGGTGCAAGTTTTACATATTTAATTCTGGATGCACATCTGTTTGATATAATCTTTTGTTTTTAATATTCACCAACGTATTTCACATGTTAACAAACTAAAGCAAACAAGCATTCACAGTCAAAGAAAATGAATATGCAACAGTAACAAATAATTAAGAGATTAACACTCATTTTTTATTTTTAGTTGTTTTTGTTTTTTTGTTTTCCAACTTCGGGACAGTTTTGTTCTGACCTCAGTGCTGAGGGTCAGTGATGTGAGATCAGTGTTTTGTTAAAGGACTGTCGGCTTGTTTTCTGAAGGTGAACCACGCTAATGATGTCTGGGTCTTGGGGAAAGCTGAGCCCGAGAGTTACGATGCAATGGTGACCAATCAGACTGGGCTCGTCTTAGCAGCTCCAGGGGCCGACTGCATGCCGCTCCTCTTTGCTGATCCCGTCGCAAAAGTTATCGGAGTCGCACATGCAGGTCAGCCCTCACTGCTTCTCAAAGTTTTGACCACTGTCTGCTAATTTAGGGAACCATCATCTCATTCCGGGCCAATCAAGAAAAAAAATGCACATCAGAACTATTAGTTAGTGTTTTTAATATGTCTATGTGTGTGAAAGAGAAACTTGAGTAGAGGAACTTAAGAAGACTTTGCAGAAAGCACACACTTCAACATTCTTTGGAATCAAAGTAAATTCTTTCAGTGTTAATTATTCTATAGACTCTTTATATAATTTGTTTTAGCCTTTGGTGCCTCCTAGAGGATTTATTTATTCAAGCTAAAACCAAACAGTTGAAGAGAGCGTGCAAAAGAGGCTGCAGTGGTACAACTTTACAATATGAACTCTGACGATGAAATGGCTACATTTACAGGTTGGAGAGGAACCATAATGGGGGTTGCCATGGCCACTGTGAATGCCATGGTGACAGAATTTGCTTGCCAAGTTAGCAACATTGTGGTGGCTGTGGGACCATCAGTGGGACCCTGCTGCTATACCATGGAAAGAGACCAGGCGTTGGACTTCATGAGCATCCATCCAGACTGTGTTCCTGATCCAGAATCAGCCAGACCACACGTCGACATCCGTCTCGCCAACAGGTACGGCTCACGAAACGAGAACACTCGCACAATAGATTAAATAGAGCTGACAAAAGTACAGAATGTCTGTGAACAAGGAAAAGAAAATAGCTCTATATTCTGTTGCCTACATTGTAGAGGGAGTCTTAGTCTGCAATAAGAGAATGAATAGGGAAGAGGTTAAAGTGGGATTCAGCAGGTGGGGATCCCTAAAACCAATTGCAAGGTCGTAGTGTGGAGAAATGAATCACAACTCAAAATAATTTCTCTTAAGAGCTTCAGTAGATTTTCTTAAATTTCCAGTTTATCACCACTGAGCAATCCTTACCTTTAAATCTAAGCTCTCTCCTTCCTCTCCTGTCCTGTATTTCTTATCTTTCTCCATCTGTGAGTGAAGTTAGCCCTCTTTCTTTTCACTCTCTGTAAAATACAGCAGCCGGACCTTTAACACACACTGTGTGACAAACTGCACACAAACACATTGTGTGTGTTTCGCTGATAGAAACGCTGCATTTGAAATTACCTGCCACTTTTTAAAAAAATTACTCGAGTAAAGAACAGATAACTGGAAATTCTACTTAAGTACAGTAATGAAGTATTTCTACTTTATTACTTCCCACCTCTAAGATTAACCAATGAGGGAAAACTGATTGTTGCAGAGCAAGAAACAAATTTAGGATTTATTGTGGATGTTGATCGGCATTCACATAAAATTTATATTTTCTTACTAAGGTCATAAAAGCATTCTGAAGATGCCCTTTTCATTTGAGTCTGGCTCAAATTTAACCTGAATTTCAGAAAATGTTCACGATGTTTTATATACAAATTCAAAGTGTATTTAAACAGACTAAACAGACTAGTGGATGCACTGACTACCCAGATTCTATTTTTAAGAGATGTTCCAAGATGTACTAGTCTCGTTCTTTGAAGATGTAAAAGGTAACTGTGGCAGCCACTCAATGATGACTCAGACTTGAACTTAAATACATCTCAGAGGAAATCATAGCTGAGTGAATTCTCCAAGTTCACTTTCATTCTGTCACTAGTGTTAGAGTGTGTTATATTTATTATGGAGTTAATCAATAAGATCAAGTAAGAGCTTCAGTTTAAGATTAAGGGTCTTCTTGCATTTACCCATTCTGGGTTGTCTGGAGAGGAGGTAAGAGGAGAGAAAGAAGGTCCTTGTTTAAATTTTCAGCCATTACTATTTGAGTATGTGTTGGAAATAGTACACTGAAGCTTTAAGGTCTTTAATATTGAATTCATATATGGGATTTGTTTTTCGCTTAGCTGTGAACCAAACAATATGTCTAATTTCCCATCCCAGAGTTCTCCTCCAGAAAGGTGGCGTCCTGCCCGAGCACATCCATGACAACAAGATGACGCACTGGTCCTGCGTGACGCCCTGCACCTCATGTCACCCTGAAAACTACTTCTCCCATGTCAGAGATGGGCTTAACTTTGGCACACAGGTGGGCTTCCTGTGGATCAAACAAACGAATGAATTAATGAGTGTTTAGCACACTTACCTCATATTGTTGTCAGCTAAAGCTCCACAAAGTCAATGTGCTCTTTTGGTAAAATTACATGGTATAAAAAATGTTAAAAGCAGCAGACAGAAAATAGCTAAAAACCAATTGTTTGCTAATTTACTGTTTGATATTTACAGCTTTAAGGATAATTTTGCATGTCCCACAGATTCTAATCTTCAAATAAACTAGAGGATTAAAGTTACAATGTGCAAAATCTCAATACTAGATGTCAGTACATAGCAGACTGCATTCAACTGAGTTCGGTTTTCGTACCCCTCCCAATTCAAATGCACAATCCTAGCTAAGGTGGCTTCCATTCATCTGTAGTGAGTGCAGGCTGTCAGTCCACTGTTCACCTCAGCAGTAGCAATATGTATTGACATCTATGGACTCTAGAGGGAAACTGCAAAACTTTGTGGCTGAGTCCAATATGAGTCAGTGAAGCTCATTTCTGTCTGACAACGATACTGCAGTGTTGTTGAGGATATCGAACTTTTTGTCATTAAACACTGCCCTTTAGTAACACTTTCTTTGAAGTGGAGCTAACTTTGTTGGATTCAGAGTCTTAGCGATTAAACTCTCATACGATGTGAGAATGTAATCAAATTGTTTATCGGAGGGAAAATGTGATTTTTAGGACACTTGAGTCTAACATTAGCTAATATAGCATTAGCTTATTGCTGTTGTGTTTTAGCCAGCTCATTGTTAGCTGGAGGCCGTAGAGTCGCATGTCTAATCTGCCATCAATAAGTAATTATAATGATATCAGGAAGAAATGAACATGTTTATGCACATTTTCGTGTGTTAGAGCTCTGACTTCAGCTCAGTAGGTTCAGCTGAGGAGAAAGAGGATGACACTTTATCCAGGTATCACCTTCCCTCGCATTTTCGCTTCTTTAATGAAAACAACCACTTCTCAGATGATAAAACATGGGTATGATCATATCTTGAGTCTGTAGGTGCAGACACAAATTAATATTTTACTAAGCTAAATTATTACTATTTTATTTTTTAGAATTTCACTAACTTTCAGGGATTTCTCATTTGAACAAACATGTTTTATAGCTCGTAAGATTTTTGGGGGTGAATCTAACTCTGCAGGGAATTATTTCTATGTTGTTGGAAACAGCATAGAAATACTGGACTGATACAGTTTGTCCAAACATGTATATTTGGATAGTTTACCTGTATTGTGGGTCCAATGTACCAAGCAAACTACCCACTAGCCAGTAAGCATTCACCTAGCGGCTCTAATCTGTCTCTCTTAATTCCAACCTGAGCCAACAGAATTATTCATTTAGAGAATGAATTGGTGGGTTTAAATACTTGGATAACACGTGGACCAAATAGACCTTTTTCTTTTTATTCTTGTACTGAAAATCTTGAGAGATGGTTTTTAATGGCATTTAACTTTAGTCAGAGACGTACAGTATAATATTACTCAGTGATATAAGATTTAAGACAGAACACACATAATACCTTAAAGGAGTGAGGCTCTAAGCGGTGAGGCCATTCAATTTCTCTTGGTGAATGACTGTAAAAATCTGTACAGCATATTTTACGTTGATATTTCTCTTCCTGCATTGTAAAGCATGGTAATTTTAGTGTTCAATAAACTTTCAGTCCAATGACCGGCTACATGGGTTTTATTAATTGATTGAATGACAGATAGCAGTTGGGTTCATCAGAGTTCAAATCTGTCACATTTTACAGTAGAATATCCAGGCGATAGATGGATCATTTCATATGAAAACCAACCAACTGCACCAGTTTAATGTTTCTGATGGAGAGGAACAGAAACAACCATTAGTTTGATCTGTTCTCTGATTATTCTGTGGAAAAAAAACAACAACTTTTGAGTCCAACTTTTAAAGGATTTCATCACCATGTGAGATAAGCCAGAACAAGTTATACCAAATAGGAAATTTGTTTGTTTGTTTTTTAAACCTAGTGTTTGATATTCCCACTGTAGCCTTAATTCCTTCTCTGTCAAAAATAATTTTCCAGTAATCTACAATCCTGTTTAATTCTGTGGCTGTTAGGTGGAGACACTGGTTGATTTTACATATCAGTTTCAGTTCCAAACTTTTAGGAGCATTAAACTTTCTGTTGTTTGATTTAATATAATGAATAAATGTAATTTTATTAAGCATGACAGACACAGACGTCTTCAGGGATACAGACAATTTTTATTCTGAGACAAAAGTCTTGATTTGTCTTACAAAGCAGCCCTTTTCCTAAAAAATAAAATAAATATAACAAAGATCATTTTAGTAACACAAAGTGTCTCACTGAAAAGATCGGCTGTTTTCTCAACAGCCTCATCACTGCATAAAATTAACTGGAAACAGAAGCATCACATTTCTGCGTGTTTCACCAACACTGACGTGGGATCTGATTTTTTTTCTTCCCCCTCAACTTAGTGCAAGTTCAGTCATCACATTGAACAGTAATTTCAAACAAGTAAAAGCAAATCACAAACTCTTACAGTTCAGTCAGTTTTAGCTGAAATTCACTTTTAACATGATCAAAGTAAAGTGAGGTCAGGTCTGCACAGGACTAACACCAACGACACAAACTCTACAGCGCATGACTCGAAACACTTACATCATATAAATCATGTTCCCGGACACATTACTGACAGAGTTATCAATTAAAACATTCTTACACAACACAGACACACATGCATGACCGACCTGGTGGCAAACGTCATTTGTGGGCTTCAGATAATAATAAAACCTCTCCTGGCATCAGCTTTCAAACAGAGACATCCCCGCACATTAAGGCCAGTTCTTTTAGTGCAAACACAGAAATGCAAAGTCAGTCTTAAATGAATGTAATGAGCTCCATTAGTCGGGAAATGAGCCAGATTATTAACATCAATCACTAAACCAAGTTGTTTAATGTTAGATTATATTTTCTTTAAGTGGTGAATTATTTTCTTTTCATTACTGTCCGAAAATGATTTTGTACCCACGCTACTAACTTAAATTTATGTGCAAGTCACACAGTTTCTTTGCAATTTTAACTTGCATCTCATTTCAAAACATTTTCAGGGCTTTCATGGTCACGTTTCCACTATTGGAGACATTTAGCATGCTCATGTGCTTATTTTGCATCTCTGTGTGGTGATTTTATAGGTTTTTGTTTTCTATGGAAGGTCATTTTTGTGTCTTTATTGTTCTTCTCTCCTCACTGAACTGGTAGAATTGTGTCTCAATGTACTTTTTAAGGTAATCAAAAATTTGTTAATAATAAGTTTGTTAATAATTTTGTGTCATTTTGAGTTTGTTTTGTGTCTTTGTTTGTTTTTGCATAAATAAGAGCAAAACATTGCAGATTCATTGGAAAAAAGGAATCATTATTTCAGACATTCATTCTCCACACCACTCTCCACCACAAAAAACAAACAAACAGAAATTCGCACTTTTATCCTAAAGCATTGCCATTGTGGCTTCAGAGGCTGTTCTCAATTGGCTCATGCAAAAGAGTTTAATGAACCACAAATGTAGGAGCCCTTCTCACTCTGGGCCATAAACTGAAAACAATCGCTAATCCAACAAATGTATGAACTGCTGAGAGAAAGAGTCCCCGTCATTACAGAAACAAAGAGCCAAACATTATAATCTGTATTTAAACAGTAAAAGTGTTTCCATAGCAGGTTTATGATATTAAGCACCACTGGATTCCTGCCAAATCTTAGTTTAGCTCATTGCATCACCACCTAAGCCGGGAACTGTAAACAGGCCATTTGGTTTGTAATTTTTGGCCAATAATTAACAGAAATAAGCAGTCACGTAATTTTAAGACCAATGGAACGAGGACAAATCCAGTCTTGGTTTTGAACTCAGGAGGAAATTTGAGAGCTTTGTGCTTTTGAAATGTCAGTGGACTCATTTGCGGAAACGTTGCTGGGTTTTGGCCCTGCTGAGGACACAATGAAATGAAACCTGTGGGAAACATTTTTTAGATATTACTCCTCAGTAAAGACCTTCCACAATTTAATCTCCAACCTTTAAGTGGCTGCAGCAGCAGCAGGCTTGACAATCTGAGTTGTTAAGGTGTTAATCTGAGTTGACTAATTATCAAAAAAAAAAAACAACAACACATAATTCAATTGACTTTTACAACAAATAAATTCCTATACATTTATGAGGTTGGAAAATAATTCTAGTAAAGTGAATGTACAACATCGTCATCAGCAAAACTTCTACTTGCAAAAAGCAAAGGCCTTGACTGCTCACGTTTGCCCCCCCAACCCATCACAGCAACTTCTGCAATTTCATACTATGGACTTGTCATTGACCCCAGCTCCTCTTCCCAGACTGTGGAGAACATTTTCCACGTGTCTTTTCTGATCAGAGTAAGGCTTTAGTGCCTCCTGGTGACTGTAAGCAGGCGTGACAGTTTCATTCGCAGAAATGGCTTATGTATAAAAGAGGTTAATAGTTGTTCCAGCAGTTAAAATGTATTGCTTGTACATTTCTGTGTACCACATAGTGAAGGCATGTTTTATCTGGTGTATGAGGCATGTTTATCTTAGCACAAAGAACAATATTTTGTTGCACCGCTATTATCGCAAGGTTTGGGTGTGATCATATAGGCTGTGACGCCACGCCAAAGGATTTCAGTGAACCATTTGCAGAAGTCTGGTTTTTCTACTATCTGTACAAGGTATTTTTTTTATAATTGTGTGTCTGTCCAACTAATCAGAGAGCTCCTTACATCCCACAGTGTGGCTAATTTGCATTGCAGCAGGATTATTAAAATGAAGTTGCTAATCCAATAGTTAATCCGTGAGCTAATCTGTGAGAAAACAGGAAAGAGAACTGGATTTTAAAATGAGGAGTGGGCTCATCATATTAAATTGTATTTTTAAAAAACATTTTGAAAATCTCTTTTTAAATGTGGAATTCAAAAATGAATTTACAAATGCAGAATTTATTCTACAATTCATTATTTAAGCACAGAACACTTTATTTCGATGCGCATGGCTCTTGTGGTCCTCCATACCAAGGAACTTGAAAAACTCCACAGTAGATACTGGGCTGTCTGATGTGGTGGGGGGGAGCAGTGTTGATGGATGTCTCCTGAGGTCCACTGTCATCTCTACGTCTTAAGCCTGTTCAGCTCCAGGTTGTGCTGACTGCACCAGACTACCAGCAAAGTAAAAAGGAAACTGACTGTTACTCCACAGAGCACACCAGAAAGTCCTCAAATAATGGACAACAGGCTCTTCCCCAGAGCCCCTTCCACAGCTGTCAAGCACCTCTACCTTCCAAAAAAATATCTAGGGTGAAGCAAGAAGGCAAGGACAAAGAGGATTTGAGGGCACCCTCTGATACCAAGGATGATCTAAGCATGGACAAAAATGTAGAAAATAATAATCTGTTGGGGGCTTCCCATTATGCATGATGCGTGAGGAATGTTTCCTCTTCATTATTGTAGGGTCTTTCCCTTACTGCAGAAAGTGACTTGTGGTGACTGTTGTTGTATTTATATAGGTAACATTTAATTATCTGAAGAGTGCTTCTAAGAAAGTGACTTCAAGATATATTACGTTCAGTTTCAGAACTTTAAAGTCACTTCAACTTTATCTTAACTCAGCTCTTCACATCTCAATGCAAAATGCCCACTGGTGACCATTTACAACTTGAACAATTATCAGTGTGTTTAAGCTGACTTTGACAGTAACATAAATTAACCTAAATTAAACCTAATTTAGGTTAATTTAATTTAACCTAAATTAAATATAGATGAGCAGTAATGTGTTAAAAGTAACATGTTACTGTAATCCGATTGCTGTTTTCAAGTAACAAGTAAATTACGATTGCAAAAAAGAAATTAGATTACTGTTACTTTCCCATAAGCACGCTGCGTTACTGCATTACTAAACTGTGATTTTGTTTGTGAGACTGTCTCATGACAATGACGTACGAGTGTGCAACATCCCTGACAGCACCAAATGTGTTTAGATCAACAATCGATAATATGGAGTGCGGAGAGAGTACGACCATGCAGCGTTTAAAGAATGGAAGTACGGGCATTACTTTGAGTTTGATTCCATAAAAAGTGACAATAAAAAATTACCCTGCCACGGGAATGTGAAATTCTCAGAGAAACCCCTGGACCCCCCCAATGACATGACCACTGCAGCACCAGGCAAACCTCCACCGGCCCCATTCCTGCTAAACAGGTGAAAACAGACTTAAGAATGACAGGACTTGGTGCAGCTGAATCTTCGATTTTATTTATTTATTGCTGTTTTCCTTGAAAGAGTGAGGGTAAACACAAAAGTTTTTTTTTATTTTATATGCTGTAATATGCAGAAAATAGGTTTAAATATTAAACAAATTTCTTCAGGTCAGAGCATATAATTAAATTTTTGCTTGATGCAATGTGCATGAAGTTAAAAGATTAAAACTAATAAAACATGTTTTAAAAATAGACTTATTCATTTGATTACATTTTATATGATATCATTTTATATTGCTTTATAACATATTCAAGTTGTGTATCATGTTTTTTTTTAAATAGCTAAGTAATAAAGTAACTAATTACTTTTGAAAATAAGTAATCAGTAAAATAGAGTAACTGGATTACTTTCTTGGAGATGTAATCACTAATTAGTAACTAATTATTATTTTCAAGTAATTTTACCAACACAGAATAACACATTTCATTGTTTACAGACATATTGTGGATAACACTTTATAGGGACAGATCAGCTCAGAGTATCGCCATACAGGCTTGTCCTTTGAATGGGCTCCATGAAAACACGCCCACACTTCCTTAACCAGCGAGGCGTCAGACGTAACCAGTGACGTCACGTGCGCGTGGAGAAGGTAGCTGGATTTCTTAAAACGCGACGCGCGCTCGGCACAGGACGTCCCGCCACTGCAGATCGACCAATAGAAGCCGGAGTTACTATCCCGACTAGTTTAAAGTTGCAGGAAGACTACTAATGTTTACACTTGATACGCATTACACGCCAGTCCTGCGTTGTGTGCGCTGTTGTTGTGCCGCACTTTTTACTTGCAGAAATGGCCTCCGAAAACAAATCGTGCAAGACAGAGGACGTGCTGGAGATCGTTTCGAAAGATAGTGAGGTAGAGTTGTGTGTTGAAGATTCTTCGTCAGATGACGAAGATCTCATCCAGGTAGACAAAGAAAATAGCAGCGATTCGGGCTACGAAATACTGCTGCCCCAAAGGTATGCAATCTCAGGTTTATTGGTGAATACTCTTTATCTTTTTGTCTTGGTGCATGGTCAGTCATCCAGTGTGGAAATCCCAGAAAGTGGATTCTGTTCATTTGGATATCGCGTTTTCAGTGGGAGAAAAGTTTCATTACTCATCCCAGTAGCTTGAATTGAATTTCCCCAACCTTATCAACAGTGCATTTGATAGTGGCTGAAACTAGCACCACTGACTTACAATGCGCTGTGAGGTCAGTTTCTTGATCATTAATGTGCAAATTGTCAGGACCATTAATCAATGATCATGAGTATCATTCACAGAGAACTGGGGAAAGGCTGCAAACACAGGAAGTGAAAGAGGCTAATTGCACCCACGTTATAATCAATCTAGTCACTTTTGGTCAATTAAACTATTGTATGGAACTGTGTTGTCATATTTCTTACAATTTCTGCTCCCCTCTTGGCAAGATCTGTCTTGGCAACAGAGGCAGACATTTGATACACCCAGGGCTTAGCCCTAAAGGGTAGTATGCATGTGGGATTGGGGGGGGGTTTAGAAATGACTGAAAGATTGGGCTCTGTTTTGGGTTTTGTTCAAAAAAGAATGACTTCATATAGGGAAAAATATATATCACACATGCAGGACACCTTAAACTAGTTTTTTAATTAAGCAGCAAGGCAGAACAAAGTCGGGGCTGTATCAAGACACAGGGACTAAACCCCAATTCAACCAGACCCAGAACTGATCCGAATTAAAACAGGACTACAACAGTTCAAAATCAGGACTACTGAGGACTTAACCAAGACAGAACCAGAATCAGAACTAGATGATAGTAGCACTAAAAATCATCATAGACCTGCACTACACTTATTTTTTAATTCTACCAAAGTCCACTATTTAGATTGAGAAAAGTTTATATAATTATTTAGCCTTGTTGTGCAAACAAGCCTGCATAACTTAATAAATATAGAATTTGAAAAATACAAACCTAAAAAGAAACACTAGGTACGAGATACATGAGACCTATGATACGGTGATACTTTTGGTAAACAACCATTTGACTAACATGTGTGTCTCACCTGCTCTTGTTCATCTCTGTTCTGTCCTCATTCTCCTCTCCCTCTCTGTTCCTCTCTCTCCCTCTTTGTGCTGACAATCATCAAATATACAGTTGAAACCAGATATTTACAAACTCTTCAGATAAAAACACTTTTTTAATTGTAACATCAAATCAGACTAAATGTTTATTTTTTTAGATTGATAAATATAAAAAACATATTTGTTAACTTTAAGAGTAAAGAGAGAAACTATCTGTATTTCTTAATTGTAAATGGCACCAAATTGTATTCAAACTTGAGCCACACTTATGGAGCTCCACAGTTCTTTTCCTGGTGTTTTGGTTGACATCTCTTGATTTTCCCATGTCACAGAAACAGGCTCTGTGTTTTGCCTTATATGCATCCACAGCTGTGCCACCAGTTTACTCACATGGACTCTACTAACCTATCAGAAGCTTCTTCAGCTCAGAATGGAATCGTCTGGAGTTTTCTTATTAATTAACAATAAACTTAGTGTATATGTACTCCTAAATTTGATGAAAGTGATAAAAAAAATAGACAGCTCTCTTTATTCTGACATTTAACTAATTCAAAAGATATTTCAATATTTATCCAAAACAAGTTTACTCTAAATTGATGTTGTACAGTAAAAAAAATGTTCTTGTGTTTTCCATAAAGTGTATGCAAATATCTGGTTTAAACTGTGAATATACTGCTGTGTGTTGAAGTTCCTCTTGTTTTGCATAGAAATATACTGAACAACATACAAAGCATAATATATAAAATAACATCAATCAGAGTTTTTTCTTTGAAAGAAGCCCCTTATGTCCATTCTTGTACATTACTGAAACTGATTTATTTAGCCGTGGAGGGAAACAACTGAAAATATGAAATAAACACATGTAAGCTAAGAATCTAAAGAAACAACATTGTTGTTGTTCGGCTTTTCATTTCGCCATTTGTTGATTCACTCGAAGAGCAAGTAACGTAATATGGGTCAAGTGATCAGTTTGATATCAATCTTTCGTGATTCACCGTCATATTTACATTATTTGTACAGTATGAATGATTTGCTTTGGTACCTGCTCAAACTTCAGTTCTCCTCTGTCTGCCTGGCTCCAACAACAGTGCACTCGCAGGCAGCAGCTCCCCCCACCCCCTCGCTCAGTCGCTTAGTGTCTGAGCTCGGATCATACCAATATTACACAGTGTGCACTATGTGCTTCGAATATTGTGTGTAGTTTTTGTTTTATACAGTTGTCAGCCAGACATCTAACTATGAAAAAATTACACTCCAGAAGACCCCGGGCTTCTGACAAAACAACCCGGGCTTAAGTCCAGTAAGCCACCCCCCCGCTCCGCCACTGCTTGGCAACATATTTTCTATGTCGGTGACAACCAAATAATTAAAAGGTGTATATAAAAGTCACCTGAACAAATATTGTTTGTACCTTCTAGTTTGTGATACGCATCTTCTTTCTCATCCAAATGACTTGATAGCATTCATCAGAGATATGTTTGACCTGCTGCTGGCCGATAATAGGTCAACAATTCATTTATAATAGTTAAAATTCCCGCAGTTATTTTTTGGCAAATACCAGAAATCCATTTTTGGCACAACACCGTTATTGGCGCAAGAAGCCGCCATTATCCACTGATCAATGGTCGAGACAATTTGCATGTTAGTGATCATGAAACGGACTTCACGCCCCGTTGTTGGGCAGCGGTGCGAGTGCTGGTCATTATCTATGTTGTATTTGTTGATAAGGTGGAGAAATTCAGCTGAGACTGAAGAAGTCTTTTAGACGAGTAGTGAACCTTTCTCCCACTGAAAACTCCACGTCTAGAAGAATCTAATCAACTTTTTAACCTTTATGTTTGTTTCATTAGTGATGATGACGACTATGAGCCCCTAAGTCCCTCATCCCCTGCACAGCCATCAGAGCCATATCATTCCCAAGCCACACAATCTACCTCAGCTCCTACTGTCCCCCAGTTGCCTGAAAGGTATGTAATCTTAATTTTACTACTCCTTATAAAGTTAAGTTTTTCATAGATTTTGAATAAGTATTCTTTATTTACCACAGCAGCAACAATGATGACTATGAACAACCTCTGCAAAGCCCGGCCAAAAGAAAAGCTAAATTGAAGCCTGCTAGGTCTAAGGCTCGGAAGAGTGGGCCTCCTGAACAGGAAGAAATGTGGCATAACAAAAAGGAGGAGGACAGAAATCCTGAACCCTTCAAGTTTATGCCCTCCAGGGTACCTGGTCCTACATTTAACAAGACGGCATCATGGTCTCCACTTTCGCTCTTCCAGCTTTTCTTTAGTGTACCTGTTGTACAGACAATCATTCAAAATACCAATGCCAATGCTGCGAGAAGGAAGGCAGCTGGTGTAAAGTTTCAATGGACTGATCTGACAGTGAAAGACTTTTACGTCTTCTTGGCTATTATTGTTTTCACAGGCCTTGTAAGTGTACACCACAGAGCTGACTACTGGAAAAGAGAATGGCCATACAATTTTCACTTCCCCCAAGAATATATGTCCAGGAACCGTTTTGAGGCCATCGTGTGGTCATTGCACCTCTCCAACCTGAAAGACGACGAGGAAAACCAAAAAAAAAGAAACACCCCACAGTACGATCGGCTTTTCAAAATCAAGCTGCTCTACGACCAAATCGTGAATGCCTGCAAAGCAAATTTCCAGCCTTACGAAAACATCTGCATAGATGAGAGGATGGTGGCATCTAAGGCTAGAATTAGCGTCAAGCAGTATATGAAGGCGAAGCCCACAAAGCGGGGATACAAGCTGTTTGTTCTGGCTGATTCAGCATCGGGTTACACATGGAACTTTTCTGTCTACACAGGGAAGAGTGAAAGCAGCATAAGCCATGGTCTGAGCTACTCAGCCGTTTTAGATCTTCTGCCATTTTCTTTGCTTGGTCGGGGCTACACTTTATATTTGGATCATTTTTATACCAGCCCTGCGCTGCTCCAATATCTGCATAAGAATTGCTTTGGCTGCTGTGGAACCATTAAAAAAACCCAGAGTGACTTTCCCCGCACAGAAAAAAATGACTTTCCTAAAAGAGCTGAGAGGGGAGATATGCGCTGGGTTAGAAAAGATGAAGTGCTCTTTGTCAAGTCGATTGAGACTCGGGAGATAACGATGTGCTCCACAGTGCACAGGGCCTTCAGTGGAAAGACTGTGCAGCGTAGAGTGAAGGAGGCTAGGGTGTGGTCGGCAAAGCAAATACCTGTTCCTGATGCAGTGCTGGATTATAATAAGAACATACATGGTGTTGATTTATCTGATGCTCTCATTGGTTATTACAGTGTTCAACAAAAAACAAAGAAGTGGTATAAGACTTTTTTTTTATCACTTCGTGGACATTGCCATTGTGAACAGTTTTATTTTGCACAAGGAGATATGCAGGAGCCAGGGTCAGGAGCCGGTAACTCAGAAAAAGTTCTGGGAGCACCTTGCTGTGGAAATGCTGTCTTTTGCTGTAGGCTCAGCACCAGCAGCACCATCGCCCACACTCACCTGCATGCCGCGTTATTACGGCAGCGATGCTACACAATCCAGGAGGTACTGCAGGAGGTGCCTGGATGCTGGCATCCCAAGGGTGAAAACACCTATTTATTGTAGGGCTTGCAATGTCCCTCTGTGCCTCACGTCAAAAAAAAAACTGTTTTGAGCGCTGGCATGATAAGCAGGAATATTTATCAAGTGTAAATGTGCACTGATGGCTTGCTTCCGCTCTTGTAATGAAACCTAGAATTTCAAGAAATACTCAAATCATTTTGAGGATGTCATTATTATTATTTTTTGTTAATCAAGAACCTCACCTAATGTCAACTTTTGTCCATGTATTACAGAACAATATGAGCAGAGAAAAATCCCTGTAACGGGCACCTTATGCATCTGATTTGGAGTTCTACACAAAATGTTTTGCCATTTCTAATAGCCCGAGTATAGGTTTAAATACGACACCCAGAATAGGATCACAAAGAATAAAGTCTTTATTATACACTTAGGAGAATCAGTTCAGAATTGTATAGAGCTGTGGAAAAGTATACCTCAGGACGGTCAATCCAGCACTCTCACAGGAGTCACAATATTTTATGCTTTTATACACTGTCAACCTACAGTGCTGGGCTGTGGGCTGAAGTCAGATTCGTATTTAACTTGATTAGGATATGTATTAAATTTATATCCTTAATATATATCCTGAAAAGCCTATAAATGGATGTCCTTATACTGGCATTAGGCTCCTTCTAGCTGCAGGCCTCAATCATTGCATTCTTTTATTTTTATCAATTCAGTAGCAAAATCTGTCATTCTCCCTGGCATCCCTCATCCTCCACAGCTAACCAGGCTGTCAGTAGTGGCTCTTATACAAGAAACCTACATTAGGTGATCTGTGCCATCCCTGAGCAGAGCAGTTTTCACTAAAAAAGTTCATTTTTTTCTGTCCTTGCAGTATACTGTACTATATTCAGCTACAGTAGAAGTGATTCAGATGAACTCAGTCATGGTACGCACCTGGTGTAACGGCTAAATGTAACGAAGCACGTTGAGTAGGTGAAAGGATGGTTCCACAGTGTGCGGCATCAACTGTCAAACATGGAGGAGGAAGCGTGATGGTCTGGGGCTGTTTTGCTTGGATCCAGGGTTGGTGACTTGTACAGAGGGAGAGGCACCCTACTACAGCATTCTGCAGCACCATGCAATACCCTCTGAGTTGCGCTTAGTTGGTCAGGGGTTCATTCTGCTGCAAGATAACGACCAAAAACATAAGTCCAAGCTATGTCGGAACTACCTCAGGAAAAAAAAGAACAAGATAGTAAGCTTGAAAACATGGAGTGGCCAGCGCAGTCTCCAGACTTAAATCTCATTGAGCTGGTTTGGGATGAAATGGACAGAAGATTGAAAGCAAAGCAACCTACAAATGTCACACATTTATGGGAACTTCCACATATATGGGAAGAACTTTCTGAAGAATATTTGATTTCTAATGTAGAAAGAATGCAACGGATATGTTCAGCTGTTATATCTGCAAACGGGCACTTCTGGTTCCACCTGCAAGAGAATTTTAGAAAACCTTGGTGTTTTCCCAGACAGCTCTTTTAAACTCGAGAAACACATCTCAGCTGTGGCGAAAAAACAGTTTCTAGCAGCTGCGTCAGATATCTAAAGCAAAGCCATACTTCCCTTTGAAGGATCTTGAAAAGCTCATTCACACTCTTATCACTTCCACGTTAGACTACTGTAATTCTCTCTACTCGGGCCTCCCATCTTCCTCTATTCACCGGCTCCAGTTAGTTCAAAACGCAGCTGCACGTCTCTTTACTGGTACTAGAAATTATGCCCACATCACACCAGTTTTAGCCAACCTACATTGGCTCCCTGTTGATTATCGTATCAATTTCAAAATTCTTTTGCTTACCTTTAAAATTTTAAATAATTTGGCTCCCAGCTATCTATGCGAACTCCTTCATTTGTATATCCCTTATAAGGTACTTAGATCTTCCAATCAAATGCCCCTGATGTAACCGAGGTCTCGTCTGAAGTCCAGAGGTGATCGGGCCTTTGCTGTCGTAGCTCCCAGACTCTGGAATAACCTCCCTCCTTATATTTGTTCCTCCGAGTTCATCAAGTCTTTTAAATTGCATCTTAAAATTTATTATTTTAGTCTGGCTTTTGATTCAAATTAGTATGTCATTTCGTGGCTAGTTTTTGTTTCAAACAATTGTCATGTTGTTTCCTGCCCTCCGTTTAACTGTTTCTTTTTATTCTGTCTTATGCTATTGCTCTGACCGACTGTGAAGCACTTTGGTCAACTTTGTTGTATTATCATGTGATATAGAAATACATTTTGATTTGATTTTTTGATTTGATTTGAAGAGAATGACAGTTTATTTGTCTCTTTCCTATTTGGTGTGAACAACCCCTTCGGTAATCTTTTTGATAATAGTGGAGATTGCTTTTGAAAATGCGAAGTATGAGAGTCACAACTCTAACAGAAAAGGAAACAGAGAAAAGCCATGCTGGTAGGAGCTACTCTCCTGAGCTAAGGTTAGTCACATGGGGCATGGATACAGCTGAACCCACCCAACATGAATATCTTGAAAGAACTTTGTGACTTTAGAAAAGATAACAACGAATAATATGCGGATATTAAACGTGACTTGAGAAGAGTTGATGCTAGAGTGGAAGAGGCAGAGGGGTGAATCATAGAGACTGAGAAGGTGCTACAGGTGGCGTCATTGTTAAGGCTAACAGCGTCAAATTAGACCTGCTCGAGCAGGAAGGCCGAGTATGCAGAGACAACCTTCGGATATATGGAATATGTGATGATGAAGAAGGGTCCGACATGATTAAAATTTTGTACAATTTATTGAAAAAACTCGCTGGGCTTTTCCAGTGGCCAATCACTTGGAAGTGAAAGAGCACATCGCACTTTGATGACAAAACCAAATGGGTGCGAAAAGCCCAGATCTATTGTCATGAAGTTTTACCCTTTAGGCTTATGAAAACACGCTAGTTAAGGGTGTGATTGGTAAGTTTTACAAGCAAGCCTCACTCTATGCGATTGTTAAGATGGGAAAAGGAAGGAAACATTTCAATATGAAATTGAATATGAAACTTCAGTATTCTTTTTCTGCTACTAAAAAATGCTATATTTAGCATTGTGTTTTCTATGGACCAATGTCTTCTTGTTTGTAAAATGACAGTTTGTCTGATGGGAAAATACGGTCACAGTAAAGGTTTATTCATGGACGAAAGAAAATCTGCTGTAATCCCCTACTTTACCTCTAGGAGGCAGCAAAACTATTAAAATTAGTTTCTGCTGCTGTTATTTTAGTAAGTCTTATGATTTACTTATTTAATTGGTTCCTTCTGAATTTTTCTTATACACCATGATGTTCACTTGATTTCTGCTTCAGTATAATGAAGAACAATCACAAGCACTTCATGAGATTAAAGAATTTAACTGGGAAAGAAATCAAATTTATGCAGTCAGTATGTACAGTGATGATTCTTCTTCATAACTTCTTCATAAAATTCTCTGTAGCTCTCTGGTGGTCATCCATTCCTGTCTTATCAGTGCTGCAAGCCGATCACAGGCTGTTCACTTGCTTCTTAAGGACTGACTGACTAGATTAAGATTTGGGGAGTTTTCTGGCTGTAAATGTTAATTTGATGAGCACCAAATCACTTAGTTATAACTTCTGCCTTGTGACATGTTGCTCCATCATACTGGAAAATAGACAGATCACCACTAAATTCCTTCTGGATTGTTGAAAGAACTTTTGCACCATTCTTAGTTCATGACAGTGTTTTGGGGCAGAATTGTGACTGTGCAGAATCCCATGGATGAGAAGAAACCACACACCTAGATAACCTCAGGATGCTTCACCATTGGCACAAATCATGGTAGCATTTACCTTTCCTCTTTTGGACTGTCAATTTTTTTAGAATTCCTTAACAGTCAGAGACGGGCATCATCAGTGAAAACAACCTTCCACTTCTTCTACTGTCCAGTCCTTGTAGTCTGTGCAGCATTTCAGTCTTTCCTTGATGTTTTTCTTGGAGAGAAGTGGCTTCAAGCATCTCCTATTTTATAGAGAAGTCTGTGCTTCCAACTGATTGATGCATGACATCAGTCGACTCACACTTTCTCTTGCGCTATAAGATGATACAGAACTGCTGATAGCTCTTCGTTTAATGCTAGGGCCAAATTGTCATTGGATTTTTCAGATGAAGTTTACTTTCACACAATGGAGCTGTTTACAGTTCATGAATATACTTTTGATCACCCTGCATTAACCTTTTGCAACAACTACAAGACATAATTGTTATGAGATGCGCCACACATACTATATGCAATATTACTCTAAAACACACAAAAAACGTTTCTTTTCCATGTGACATTACAAATATGTAAAATAAACATCAATACAAATGTCTTTATACACAATGAAATTACACAAATTTTTCCATAAATGTGCAGCAATTGCTACTTTGTCCTGTGTGAAAATCTTGAGGCACACATGGTTACATTGTATATTGCTAGGAAAATGGGAAATTGGTTGAAACGTATATGGACTCCATAGCATATAAGATGTTTGTGCAGTTCTAACAATATTTACTTTTATTCTTCAGTCCTTGAACTTACCCAAGCTTTCTTGCCATTTCTTTAGGCAGTGTTCAGCAATAGTTCTCCAGGCTTCTCGGAGGACACTTAAATCTCTTCTTTGGATGCTGGCTGTCTTATTCTGTCAGTCCTGTCAATACGATCCCACACTGCTTTATTAATGTGGAGGCTAGGCATTGCATTGTGTGTTTTTCTAACTATAGCAATGGAAGAGTTTAAGAATCTGCAACTTTTCTGTGTGAAGTTGACCTTGTTGGATTAAACGCACTATGTTGTCTCTATTCTTGAAGGCCACTACTTACAAGAAGGCTTGCCCAGTCTTTCCAATATGCTGCATGTAGATTTTCGAGTTATCTTTTGCGCACTGTGTTCTAAGACAGTCTTTGGGCTTGCAGTCTATGTAGTTAAAAAAGAATTCCTTGTCTGTACTAGTGTTTGACCCCTTAGCAAAGGTAAATAAAATTCACTTTAACTCAATTTATCCTAGATTTCTACAACACCAGGTATGTTTTTATACCATATTTAAAAACGTTTAAAACACTGAGGTTTAGTGTATCTAAACACAATCCTTACAAACTTAAAGCTCAGGTGTCAAAGTGGAAAATGAGGATCCGCACTGAGAGACAGAAAATACAAATAAGGAACTGTGCACTGTGACTCATATAAAGCTACTCTAGAAAGGTCCAAGAATAAAAATAAGGATATAAGCATAAAAAAATCCTCTTTGAGTTTGTTAAGTGGAGACAAACACCAAAAGTCGTCATTTTCCTCTGTAAGCGCTAGATGTTTTAACTGTATGCTAAGAAGTATCACTGACTTAAAATGGGGTGTTATACTAGGGTGCTAATTTTCATCTGTCGCCACCAACTCTTTTAGACCTTATCATAATATCAACAAGTTTAACCTCAAACCATAAAAAAACAAGACCGAATCATCAGATAGCTTTTAAGGAGACAGACACAGTCCAAGCAGAGGGCCAACCAAAATGTCCTCACTTTGCAAAAATTCCCTCACTCCTCCCTCTGCAACTTTAATTGGCCCTCATAAAGAGAGAGGTTCAAGAGGATACTTGGATTTAAACATTAAAACCAGGCTAATGTGCATCTGTGCTCTACATGGTACGTAATCTGCATAGTTATGCTTTACGCAATGTCCATTACAACATCTCTCTCTCTTTCACAAGTAGATTCTCTCTCTCTCTCTCTCTGCCTGTCTCTCTCTCCTGCTCACTCTGATTTCGCTCCTTTACATTCATACAAATGTGACCATGTCACCAAAACCAGGCTTAAGTGTTTATCTTGATGCCTTATGCCATCAACATTATGAATCATGCTATGTATTACACCAATGCTGTTTCCCTTCCAAACATAAACATATAACCTCCCCCTTCCTGTGAATCTCAAGGGAGTCCTGCCACACATTCTTGAGTGTACACTTCATTGGAGTAATGATTCAGAGCAGCTCATAGCCAAATAAGACGAAACCCCCTCAGCTTGCCTACTTTGTCCGCATATGAGCTGCTTCTGTAGCTACATGGACTTGGCCACTTGTGGATTCATACACAAAGACAGAAAAACTTTGGGCTGCAGTTCTGTTAGAGCTGAATGCTATTTGTGATCAGCGACTCTGAAATTAGATTTTTAAACCACTATTATGTGTACAGCAAAAAAGAGAGAAAAGAAAAAAGGGGAGAGGGGGTGTTAGCATAGAACAAGTGCAGAGTTGCCCTGGACTGGTCTGTTTAGACTTGACAGATCTGTTTTTACTTGAGCTGTGCCATTTGGCCTTCAAAAATTCCAGACATGTGCCAAACTGCAATGAACTTTGACTCCATTGTCTTGATTTTTTCAGGCTTCCCTGTTCTAAATTGGCCTGTATTGCTGTATGTGATTATTCTGAAAAGTCCCAAACTGAGAGAGCAGGAGATTGTCACTCAGCTCTTTTGATTACACGTTGGGCTCAGGGCTTTATTTTTTGAAACTTTTTGTTATCAGACTTAGTTCTTGTTTTTTCTTCATTCTTTTACCCCATCGCCTTTTCTAGAGCTAAATTTACAAAAGTTGTAACATGACTTTCAAGAATAGAAAAGAACAAAAGTGGTACCTACCTATCCCTGAAAAGGGGCTCATGCTAGTGACTAGTAAACGATAAAGTTGTCCCCTTCTCAGAGAACCTTTAATCATAGGCATTTTTAAAGCAGGCAGATGGATACTTCCTTTTGCAAATATGTTACAAATCTGTAGAAAATGTGTAATGTTGTTAAAGACTTACAAAAGTCACCTTTTACTGTGTTGGTTTCTTTGGGGCTATTATGTGTGGACAGGCATGCTCTCATTGTGCTTACATGGGTTTTCACCTCCTCTTGGATAATTCTTAATCAACCTTAGATGGGAAGCAAATTACATAACACACCGAAGAGCATAAAAATGCATAGAATGAGGTGTTAGATGAATAAAAAAAGAGCAATACAACTTCAGGTGTAAAGTGCATTAAGTGGTTGATAAGAGTTGAAATGTAAGTCTGTTCTGTTCCATTATTATCCATTATATTTCAGAGTTTTATATTCGAAACTTTAATCATTTGGATCTGGAAGATTGGAATATTTTACTATAAGAGTCAAATCATGAATTTGTCTTATAACAGTGAGGGCCCAACAATAAAACTAGCTTTGCTTGCTGTAATCATTGATCTTTTCCAGTTTGTCCCAGAGAAGTCTGTTCCCAAACCACTTGTACTGCAGAGGGACAAAATCCTCAGTCATTACTCTGTAAATTTACATGGCAAAGTTGATCTGAAGCAAATATGAGGCTTGAGCAGTTTAGCTTTGTCAAATCTAGGCAATGTTTCCCAATATCTAAATTAAAATCACCTCTTTTATTACTATCTCTGCACCACAGCTAATTAAGGGAAGGGGGGGGGGGATTGTGAATTCTTCTGTTACTTCAAATACAATTCATCAAGAAATTGCTTTCTTTGGTCTGTTTAAGGAGCAAAACCCTTTTCAGTGTCCACTTCAAACTGCCTAAACATAAGAGGTTGAACAAATGAATTAATTCTGTTGTTTAAAGTTTCCATTATCTAGTAAAAAAGTTTCAGCTAACGAGACAAACCAGTCCTTCATATTATCTGCTGACAGTGGTGAAGGGTTTTAGAGGTGTAAAATGTGTAATGTTCTCACAAATAGGAAGGTCCTTTTAAACTTTTATTTAAAAAAGTAAACTATTGACTATTACACCTGAGTCATAATCCAAATGTATTTGTGATGATTAGTGCTTCAGGGAGCTTTTACACATGACTGATGATAATAAGTTGATGACCCAGAATGAAGCAAAACAGAACAGGAAACAGCTACATGACAGTCAGAATTCCTCCTTATGTCTGTCTTAGAAAAGTGTGTGTGTGTGTGTATGTGTGTGTGTGTGTGCGTGTGTGTGTGTTCATGCTGTTTGATGCAGGGGGGAAATGAGACATTTTTCCTGTTCAGGATTGTGTTATGTCTCAATGTTCTGAACGTAACCAAGGACGCACGAGAGACGGAAGATACAAGGGGAAAAGGAGACTTTGGCTTCTTCCAGAAATAAAAGCTGGATATTCGTTTGCATGCTCTTAGTTAAAATATTAGGATTAACATCAATGAAGGAAAAATAACTGCGTATGTCTATTAACCTTTACTTCTTGATCTTATTTGCCTTCAATAGCTATGGAGGCTAAATAATTTGCTAATAGTCTATAAATAGAGCATTATATTAATAATGTGTTATATAAGGTCACAAACAAACATACAAACAAACATTGGTTTAATAAATATACATAAATTAGTGTGTAATAATGATTTCCAAAACAAATTAATATGTTCTCATAAACTTGCCTGAATTAATCCATTAAAATATATAGGACTTGAGCCAGTTGCCTCTCCAACTTGAATACAGTGTCCAAGATAGTGAAAGGGACATCCCTTTCCTGCCTAACTGTGTCTTGTGTATGTGATTAGAAATTGGCCAAATACATAGTATGCCAAAGGTGGAGGACAAGAGAATTCATGAGCATTTGTGTGTTGTGGATGCAAGTTTTAATTTGTGTCTGCACCTTCAGATTCAAAATGGGAAGGTGTTTTATTGTCTGATAACAGGTCTCTTTCACCAAAGAACCGAAATGTGAAGAAAAGAGACAGCATGACTGGATTCTGGATAAAATGCTTTCCTCTTCCTCCTCAATTCACCACTCATCTCCTGAACTGAAGTCAGGGCACTAACAAACAAAAATGTGCATATCAATTTCTTCAGATTTTGTTGCAGTTACTTATTGCCAGCAGATTACACATGCGACCCTGTGATAAGCTGACAACCAGCTGTAAGACAACAACTGGTTATAAGCTAGTTTAGGATTGAGTGTCTTAAAAATCTCTCTTTCCGTCTGGTGTCAATTCTCATATGATTCTCATATGATTGAATGAGAGTTTATTTTGTAAGTGAGTAAAACAGGGTTATTTTAACTTCAAGGAAAGTTTCACTAACACAGGCAAACAGAGGCTAACAGTTGCAAACAAGTGTTATTGGCAGAAAACTTCAGGATGTTTGCAACAACTCGCCTCAATATAGGGCTGGTTAATCTGGGATACCAGGCATTTTCCTGGTGGGCCGATGGGCCCAAAAAGTGACTCAAGGGTAAAAACATAAAATACTTGACACATAGCCTTTTGTTTATTTTTTTTTAGCTCTTACACCTATTGTTAAGTATATGTATTCCTCAAATATATATATATATATATTTTTTTATATACAAACAGTAACAGAAAAAAAGTTGGTTATGTGGTACAGCCTAAATTTAATGTTTTGATCTCTTTTGGCTGACTACAACATGTTTGTCCTATAGCAGCCACCATAGTACTGAGAAGAGTTGACTGCAACAGTGTTGGGGAGTACCGGAATACATGTATCGCCATTACGTATTTAAAATACAAAATATGAGTAACTGTAATCCGTTACAGTTACCGTTTAAAAAGGTGGTATTTAGAATACAGTTATTTTGTTGAAATAAATGGATTACGCGGCGGTATTTTCCTGTTTCGTATTGTGGCGGGTCAGGACTGTTTGGGTTTTGTTTGACAGTTAAGTTCTGTTGTTCCAGGCGGCAGCGTTACGGTTGCCATGGTTACAGGGTGACGCGGGCCCTCTCTGCGACTGTGTGTTTCCTGGGTGTGAGAGCGCCTTTTTGTTGTTGTTTTTGTGCTAAGCTAATAGGCAGAATCCTACAGGGCTTTGGAGCGTGATGTCATGGGCGTGGGCGTGGAAAGGATTTTGGCCCGATCCGCCATTTTGGGGGTCTAAGTAAGGAGCGAAAGCATAGCCATGGTTCGTACTTGCTGTGTGGTCGGCTGCAATGTTCGATCTTACGACCGGCACGGGAATAAGTTTCGATTGTCTTTTTATGCTTTCCCAACCTGGAAGCAACATGAGGGAGCTCATGTATCGGATATTACCAAACGAAGGAAGGACACAAATTGGCGTTAATAATTTACCCGATTATCAATGTGTTAATTTACATGTACTTTACAATTATGGGCATATAATATGATAACGATATTT